TGTGAACTATCACCTTGTTTTCGCTCAAATGCACAACTGTTAGAAGCTTTGAGTCTTGAATTAAGTCTATCAGAGTTCCCTTTCTTGGCAGCCATGGCAGGTGGCGGTCTTGATGGTGGAGGCAACCCTGATGGCCTAGTTCTTAGGCTGATATCTGACACAGTTAAGAATGGCTTATCTGGAGTACAACTAGCCTCACTACATTTCTCTGGATGTTTTGAATCACTTCCATGCATGATATAGCTGCTGCTCATTTTACGTGGCGTGCTTCTTTTGTATTGCTTGTCTTCTAAAACTGGTCCACTGCAGTCCACATTGTAGTTGAGATCAAGATTTGCCTGTCCAGGTGGCTCCTCATTTTCTGTATTTTGAGAAGCCTGATTTCCACTGACCATGTAAGTATATCCAGGAATAGCATGCAGATGAGCAACATGTGTCATGCCATTCGACATAACTCCTTCGCTCCTCTGAAAAGTCTTGTGGTATGAAATGTTGAACTGCTTGGTGTCGTCAGATGAATGATGAACATCAGCACTAGAAGAGCTCTGACTCCTTTCAGAAAAAGCCGAAGGATCTGACTCATTTGACAGGGTCTCACTTTGAACTGGACTCCTTTTATCAAGAAAAGAAAAAAGAAATAAATGAAACATAAAACTAGAACTCCTTTGAACAGAAAAAAAAAGTATCTCTTTTTTCTCGCCAGATGTTCATATTGAGAGCACTGAGAAAGATAAAACTGATCCTACTAATATTAACAGTAAAAACATATCACCCTAATTACCTTAAGTGAAAATGAGATTTGGTTAAGAAAATTGATTAATGCAATCTTTTGATTTGTTTCAGTTCAGACATAGACATGTAAAAGATATCTATGATTTTCTACTAACTTCTCCGCAAAAAGAAGTGTTTATGCCCTTTGATTAGAGAAATTAGCTCCTGATTCATATATCACAAATTACAGATTCTTACACTCTTAGCTGCAGGGTCCAAGAAGAGAAACCACAATCTCAACTTGTTAAATTCCAATAGAAACAAAGCTTTACAGAGAGAGCACATTAGAACGTGAAACATAAACAAGCTCAAGTTAAAGAAATTAAGGCCAGCACAAGCACAACTAGGCCTAACGGTCAATGAAACTGGGCAGAAAAATTAGATGATGCTTTCCCGGTGGTGGATAGAGCTACCAAAACATGAACACCAGCGTTCAAAACTTTCTTTTTAAAAAAAGAAGAATTTGCGTTCTTACTTACCGCAGCGTTTGCAGCAAAAACTTCTCCCTAAATTTGTAAAAAGCAACTAAACATTTCCAAAGTCTAATAATGCAAACGTATTTTAGTAGTTTTAGCCATTCTTATCACATTTTCAAAGAAAAAGAAGAAGATCATACCAGCCCTCGTCCGAAGAATCATAGCCAGAAGTAGACTGCCGAACCAAATCCTCGTAAGAAAGGGTAAAATCAAAAACAGGAAAACCTCCAAAAATCTCAGAGTAGTCAAAATGAGAAGTCTGAACATCGAAGGACAACCGATCATCGTCTTCCTCAAGAAGCGGAAGATCCAAAATGGGAATAGAGGAAGCTCGGGAAGAGTGAAAACCTCCAAAAATCTCAGTATAATCCTCATAACGAGGAGCTAATGTTGGCACTCCGAACTTGGGCGGACCACCAAAAACGTCGTCGTATACAGACTTACTTGGTGTTGTAATGAACCCACTTCCATGGTAACTCTTTTTAGCAAATGAATGTGACAGATTTTCCATGGAAATGTCACTCTGAATTCTGAAAGAAAGAAAAAAAAAAGAAACAGTTCACACTGTGAAGGTGGAAACTGGAAAGAATGAAGCGTGAAAGGGGTAATATGGGAATTATAAGAAGAAAAGAAGTTGCTTTTTTAAAACTAAAAAATGTTACGAAGAAGACATTTTTTTAGGATTTTGAATATCGAGGAAACTTTTTGGTTAGTGAAATATATTGTGATGGGCGATTATCGTTAGTGGCAAAAGGGGGAAAAAGAAAAAGAGAAAGACGACAGTAGGCGTGGTGACAAAAGAGTCGCCCATTGGATAAAACTCCGGCAGCTTTCTGGGACGTTATACATATTTCCGCTTAATACATAAATAAACATTCAAATTCGACATTAAATAATAGGTAAACGTTCTAATTTTAAATATGCATTTAAATTTATTTCTATTAGATCAGTTGAACACTTTTACAGAGTGTTTATATTAGTACCTAATTACAAGTGAGAAAGTATATTATTAAAGAGTTGTTCAAATTAAACTAATTTCGAAAGAACAATTAATCCATATAGCAGCTATGACTACAAAGATTAATGAGCTGCTATTTTGTTTTTATTCTCATTTTAAAAAAAATTAAGCAACTGTCATGGTAAGCCTTATTGGTGAGATTCTAGATACTGAAAATAATCAAAACAACTCAAACTTTGTGGATTGCACGTAAGACTTTTAATTGGCCCCATTCCATGTATTTCAATTTTCAAACAACTAATCATATAACTGCCCCTCAAACTTCTTTTTTATAATATACGTACGTACTATCTTCTTTAATTATAATACTTATAAAAATTGTATGTCAGAAAAGAAAAAAAGTTGAAGAAACGTAGTTTGAAATAATGTAAATTAATACTACAAGAGATTTGAAGAACATAACCAATAGTGCTCATCTTGTTTTAGAAATTAAAATTCGATAATTTGTATTTTTAATATATACTTAATTTTTATTTCTTGTCACTATATCTATTGTTGCTCGGTCACTGTATTCGAGGTTGTTTTCATTATTAGTCTGGTAAGAAGAATACAAAAAATCTGCGTGTTTTGCGATCCCCTCTCCAATTTGTAGGCCACGCCTAACACCTTTGCCTATATTGTCCACAATACAGACAAGAATACACACTTATTTCAACTGAAAATGAAAGCTATTTTTCCTAATAATGAACTACTTAAACCAACGCAATTAAGAAGAGTATATAATATATTATGGTAGATGGATAGCATTAGTTTTAAATAGAGAAATATATAATACATGATATATTTACGGGACCTAAACGGTTTCTTGGTTTAAGTCATAAGTGCATTAAATATTTTTGGTGATGGGAATTTGATAGCCTCCTTACAACTATTGTTGATGTAGAAATATGAACATTACAACAAATAAATAGATGGAAAATGATGGTTCTAATTAGGTTATGCTTTGTCCCTTACTAAATATGATCCCAACAGTACTAACCCTGTATTGTATAACTTGCTTCAATAATATGCTGTATATAATTCAATTGATGAATTGGTGGATGGGACCACCAACTCTTATTGTTGAGTACTCTTTTTTTTTCTTTTTCTTTTTCTTTTTATTTTGCACTCGGAGAGCCCCGACTAAATTTAGATCATGCCTTGCAGGCTTATTCGGGGTGACATTTTTAATAGAATTTTCTCTATATTCAGGACTCCAATCAGAAACCTCTGGTTAAGGGTGAAGCTACTACACCGCAAACCTATGTTGGTTATTGATGACAACTCTGATATTCAACTAAAATCACACAGTTTACCTTAGTACTCATCAAATGTAATAACGTTGGTATCAATAAACACAATTGTCATAATAATTGCAAATGAGTATTTTGCCAGGGCATTAATGTTATCCTAAATATATGTGGGCTGGCATATCTTAATTGCAAATGCTCACTAATCGGATAAGATTTTAAATTGATTTTTAAAGATATATAGCAATCAAAATAAAGTGTGGTACTATTGATATAAGTAAAATCCACTATTTCTCCTCTCTCTTATTTTCTCTCAGCAATAGCTTTATATTTTATTCAAAGAAATTGTTTGTATTGTAGGAAAGACAAGATTTAGATCCAAAACATGTCATTATTCTAACTACTTTAATATGTCTAAAAAAGAAGAGATAGGCTCTTCTTCTTGGTTACTCTTTGAATAAACCAACCAATTATGAATTGCGAAGAGGACAAATGATGAATGCTTTTGCAAATTCCTTATTGAAAATTATATTGGAAAAGGAAGGGCAAATGTGAATTATGGCATTGTGCAATTGAGTCTATGAAGGAAAAAAAAAAGGCTAAAGAGTGTATGCCTCTGGGTCCAATATGTTGGTTAACTTTATTCAAAATCACAGCTTGCTAAAGCCAAATACTCATTTCAATCATTAATGTCTGTTAACTTAATCATGTATGGATACAGTGTGTAGTACTTATTAATCTAATCTTGTAGATTAAGGCTCCATATATAATAGTATATATAGATTTAATTAAGCTCATGAAAGAAGCTAGTATGATTGCATGGACAAGAACTGTAAATAAAACACAAGCGTGCAGCCAACATAATATACAAATCGCCTGTATCCGCTCTTCATGATCGATATTTATCACTTGGGTTTATTTGTTATTACTCCAATATTTTTCTGACGTGAAATCATAATGCTTTTTCAAAATTTTCACTTATGGCATCATGGCTGCAGACTAAAATACAGTAACAGATATGGCAATAGAAAAAGTCTAGACTAGATATGTCCAATCAATATAACAATGCTAAAAGCAAAAAAGAAATCGAGAGAGCATATGAATTACTAGTATTGATCCCTAGTTGCTTTTGGGACAAAATACATTTATAATCAAATTAAGAAGATAAATTAGTAAGCTTTTTGAAATAACAAGCTACTATGTCTCCTCGAAAGTATCCTCTTACGAGGTTAGCCGTCAAAAAAGTTATCAAATCCTACTCATATCTTGCTAACCAAAAAGCTAAAGAGAGAAGGCTATCTAATATCTATATATCACCTTATTTACCACTTTACAAAATTATATGCAATTCAACTATATACATACAAAATTTAATTAATTCCCACGTACATTTTTTACTAGGTAATCTAACAGACAAGAGAACGTTGTTATATTTTATAGGAGAAACGTAAATAGATAGAGTAATTATAAAACGAGCCTTGAGTAATTTGAGTACTCCCAAGAATAAATTGTTAATGTTGTGCTGTATTGAAACTTTAAAGAGAAATACTAACGCTGTGTCCACAAATGTATAAAGTTTTGAAGAGGGTCTGGTGTCCCCAGCCTTTACGCAACTTATTCAAAAGGTATGTACGATCTTCAAAAAAATAAATTTCATTTTGTTTTGAATGTCTTAATTGGCCACCATATCTTAAAAAGTGTACACCCATAGGCCATAGTTATTGAATTGCTTTCTGGGATTCCCTGCACATTCAAAGACAGTGCGGCATTCGCTTTGACTGTATTTCACCTACTGTTAGATACAACACAACAGAAATCAGATACTTAATAATTTTTCAAATTGGCTACGCAGTGCATTGTGTGTGATACCAGATAAGTGTCGTCTAAAGTTTCAATTCAGAAGGAAATGCGCATCAAGAAATTGAGGTCGAGGAGGAAGTATGTGAAGTTTCTCATATTGCTTAAACAGTTAAATATAAGCTCTACTGTAACTTTGGTTTTTTAAGAACATCAAAAGGCTCTGATCAGCCAGACATTGATAAATAGAAAAATGCTAGAGCTGCATACCTGTATTAAACTTTGATATTTCAGCTTGGCCTTAATTATTGGAAACTAATCACAGGCATTTTGACGTTAATCCGCCCAAAACAAAAAGAGTTACCCAATAATATCACAAAATCCCAGGATACCCCAGACGGAAACCACACTTAGGAGGCCTTTGGTGCCTTGTCTGGCAGGCTACTATCAGGCAGGACAAGCTCTGGAGGTGTTTCACCAACACCCAACATAGAGTCATACTCCTCATCCTTGCGCGCTAATTTCTTCCGCAGCACCTTCTCAAATTCAATCTTATCCAACTCTTTTGCATTTTCAGCTGCATGAACCTGCGCTAAATTAGAATAGTTTGCGGCTGACTCTGAGATGAATGCTATTTCTTCTTCTGTGAGCTTCCTCAAGAACCTCGCTGGATTTCCTCCCCAGACCTGTGTTTTTTGGTGTCACAATTACACATGTGAGCAAGTTGAAATTTGCAACAAAAAAGTTTACTACATATTTCATAACAAGCGAGAATACAAGACAAAACTAGGGAAGGATTTTTCCTTGAGAATTCCTTGTATCAGTCCACATCCTAACAAATCTTCGTCTATTTGTCAACAATTACATGCACAGTTTCACAAGTGTATAATCGGGAGGTTAAACAACTTACTAAAGATTGACATGGAAGCTAGCATCAGTATGAACAAATAATACTTTTTTCACCAATTGCTAAATACCCATGTAGGAACTTGTATACACATGCAAAAACCCCAATAATGGCAAAATAAGTGACTTAAAGTCTGCCACGAACCTCTCCGAATGGAATCCTTGTGTTCTGTCTTACATGGGCACCAGCAGCAACCATAGCATTTTTCTCCACAACAGCCCCATCAAGCACGGTTGCACCCATACCAATAAATGCCTCGTCTTCAACAGTACATCCATGTAACACAGCGCTATGACCTTATATTTTGATGTCAAAAGTCAACCATCAAGCCAACTCAAAAATTAATGGCAGATGTATATTAAGCTCTAAATTGCCAGAAATTTCTCACCTATGGTAACATTTTTGCCAATTATCGTAGGCAAAACCTTTCCACTGATATTCGACTTAGCTACATGGATTAGAGAATTGTCCTGGACATTGGTTCCGGCTCCAATGCTGACACTGTTCACATCACCTGCACGGAGTTTCATGTTGAGAAAGAACAAGAAAACTAAAGAGCACAAACATCCAGGGCACTCCACACACACTGAAAGGAAAAACACTATGCAATCATAGTTTGATTGAAGCCCAAACTTCTTAACAGAATTAGAGCCCCATGAAGAACTCATATTCTTGCCCTTAAGCAAGCTAAGAAAGGACAGAGTGCTATTATAAGAGGCGCAATGTAAGTTTTATAACCAAGGAAGAAGGAACAAAACCTTATTCAATACTGTAAGCATGGGAGCATATTCATTCAGTCAAATATCGTTGGCAACATGCATTAAGCAAGACACATACTTCCAAAGTATTTCATTCAAAGGCTGCAATGAGTGTGCATAAACCAAAATTTGCTCGAACTTTTAGTCGGCTAAGTTGTAGATTGAGCTTTCAAAAGATAACATTACAATTAAAGAGATTCATGGAGTAGTGCTTGTGGAGTAGGTCAAAAGTAGAGTTGCCTGAGTGAAGGCAAGTTTGAGCTTTGTGTCGTGTCCCTGAACAAATAATATAAGCCCAGGTTATCAGGTCCAATCTGATATTTCTAATAATACCATTGGGTGGAAGCAGATAATTGTCTGATAAATAGTCCTATAGCAATCTTTTATTTCACAAATTTGACCTTTTCATACGTCAACATCCTCTCAAAGATTAATATTCAAAAAAGAGAATTATTTGACACATTTTTTTTTAGAGAAAAAAGTGTTTTCGTTGCAACAGAAAAGTCTACTAATTTCTTTTCTGAAGTCTTATATTGCAATGAAACTCACCTTTGTCATCACTCATGAATGTACATGTAAGTTGTAATGAAACAACCGGTACTTAAAAAAAACATATATAGATTGTGATTGTTATGTAGGGAAAAACTGTATTTATCTAGTGCTGCCAGTCTTCACTTGTGCTATACATGAAGTTTTCAATACAATTCTTAACTCGTCAAAGAGTAACAAAGTACTCGTGATATACATGAAGTTTGCAATACAATTCTTAACTTGTCAAAGAGTAACAAAGTACTCGTGATAGCTAGACATTCTCAAAATTAAGAATGAACATACCATGAGTCCACAACTTTGAGTTTCGTAGAGATCTACACATTAAGTTTTATCACAAACCCCAAAATCTTGAGTCTTATTTAGATTGTAAAAGCATAAATGGCCTAATATCATTTCTTTAAATTAATTTTTTGAAATATTAAGACTAAATACATAACAACAACATACCCAATGTAAACCCACAAGTGGGATATGGGGAGGGTACGCAAACCTTACCCCTACCTAGTGGAGGTAGAGAAGTTGTTTTCGAAAGACCCTTTGCTCAAGTGCAGACTTGTCCTGATATCCTCAGTGCCAATCCTCAATGCCAATTTCTATTGGGTTCTTTCAATCAATTTTTTCATATTCCAATTCAAGAGATTTATTGGGTTCAGATTCGTTTAAATTAATTGAGTCTTGTATCTTTTAAAAAGCCCGATATTATTGTTCACAACTGGTGTTTGGGTACACCTTAAAAAGAGTTAATACATTGTAACTAAATTAGAAGAAAGGACTAATTACCTATAATGTGCATAAAAGATTGTACACTCAGTCTTACTACTTGTCTTACAAATAAGAACCACTGGACGACATAAACAACAGAACTACCAGGTTCGGCAAGGCATGTGACCTTATAATGTTGTATTTCAAGAAATTAGCAATATCTACTGTCTTTGTCTTATAAAGAACTACCACCGCAAGATATAAATCAAACTTATCAGTTCTGAAAAACATGTAACATCATAATGCTGTATTCCAAGAAATAAGCAATCTCTACATTGCAGAGCTAACTATCAACAAACACATTTTATAAATAAAGATTTGGCATAGGACGTAGTGTTGATTCAACTACAAAGCTTGAGAATGCAGTTGTCTCCTAAATATCTACCCATTAACATAATTCAAGAAAAGACAAATATTTTGTGATACAAGAAGGAATACTTTTCTCACCCTCCTCAAATGTCTCCAGGAAAATTTTACCATGACAAAAATGTATATTTCAAAATCAATCAGTATAACAGCAGCATACTTCATTAAGAAGGTTTTTAAGCACTGACACTACCATTTTTTTTATAAAGCAGCACTGACACTACTATCATATGCAGAAACAGAACATACCTCGCAGAACACACCCATACCAAATAGAAGCACTACGACCAATGTGAACATCACCAATTATAGAGGCACTTGGGGCCACAAATGCATCTTTCTCAACAACTGGTACTTTGTCAAACAGGTTCATCAAAGTTCTATGCCTCGACACTGGAATAAAAAGGAGGTAGAGAATAAAAAACGTTAAAGCAAGAAGGCATGCTGCATATTGTAGAAGCACATCAACAACCAATAAGTTTAGACATGAAATAAAAAATATGTGGTTTGACATAAAGAGGAAACCATATAACAGAACACAGGAAAGAGTAGAAGACTAGGAAATAATTCTAGAAGTATAGCCAAGCATAGAGAACAGAAATAAAACCTAAGATGGTGAGATTGGCTGATTGTGAGTAAATATGAATGTAACTAAGATCATCACAATCGACACTGGTAAAATGCTTGTCAAAGATTCCAAGCCTCAGCGTCTCACCCTGATGAAAATATTTATAGACTAATAATTTATCACAATTGACCCGAGCTACTTATGTTAGTCACAATGTTGAGTGCATGGTTATGCAGAACTGGGTGAGATCAGAATTTATAATCTAGCTCTCGGATTTTTGTTAGACATATTGTAAGATAGATCATATATGTCATAGTATACTATGCTATAAGTACTCAGTATCATGAGCAGCCTTCAAATTAGCAACCCTATATGATCACTCATCACTCTTGATAAGCTTGAATCAACAATACTTGTAATCGACCTTATTTTCTTAAGCAAAAAATTGTAACTTCAACTACAGCCGGACTTATTCATCAGACAGCCTACTACAGCCCACAACCACAAGTGACAGGAAATCCTGTCTACCAAGGTTGTGAAATAAGTTCATACTAAGCGTCATAGCGGGAATTCAGACCTAAGATCTCTAGGTTGTTATCCTATGCTGCAACCACCAATCCATCTCCTTGAGACTGATAATCAGTAAAATACTTTGAAACTACACTTTCAAAGTTAGAGCATTGAATGTCTGTTTGGAATGGAGAAAAATATAAAATGCCAATGAAATTTGATGTCACTTATTCTTTCTAGCTTTACGGAGCGGTTGTGTTACTTTATGTTATCAATATAACAACATTCTTTTCCTGAAACTAAAAGGGAAAGTATCCATTTGTAGTTTTAAAGGGAAGTAAACAAGAGAAAAATTACACTACATAAGTCGACATTTATCAAGAGGGGATTATCCCCTTAAATAAATGATAATTAGATACTAATAGCTCTATGCAGCTCAAAAAACATTACTAAAACTTAAGTACTTGTCATCAAACATTGCAATGTCACCTTCACAGTGCTATCTATAAGAAGCTGAGCTAATAAAATTAATGTTCAAGACAACACAGCGCCGAAAATGCAGCTAAAGAGAAACGGCACAACGAAGCCTAATAAATTTATACAATTGAAAGCGTTCTGTGACTTGAACTAATGTGTATAATAAGAGTTCAAATACCTGAAGCCCTAGTTCTCGCTTATATGAAAACATAACAGGTTTAAACCTCATAGATATGAAGAAGTGAGGAGAAAGAAGAGACGTACGGTGTTCTTGGAAGTAATAGTTTCCCTGGAGGCGGCAGCCCAACCGATCAAGGGCTTGGCCTGTCTCCCGGATCCAGAATCCAACGGTGTAGATTGCTTTCATCGCCGAACCCATCCTCTATTGCTTCCGATTCCAGAACCGGATTTCTCCAAATTCACTGATTCAAACGTATATTTGTTTTGATTATTTAGCTGAGGAGTTGAGAAATGAGGAGCGTGGATACCACAAAGGGTAAAAGGTGAAGTGAGCTGAACCGAACCCAAACCCCGACTCGTATTGAGTGCACTCGTTTCTTTTCATTTTTTGACCTTCTATTAACAAGTTTTTATGAAATAAATTATTTTTATTATTTCCAGTGCTATAAAGGAGTTATTGACTTTGTGATTTACTATTTCAACTCTTAACATAATACTCTTGAGTAATTATTTCACATCATAAGAAAATTAATGATACTTCCACATATTTATTCAATGTTACTATTGTTTGGAAATGTGATTCTCCGTTTGCATAGTTTCGATTTATTTGTTTTATTTCTCTTTTTAGTTTATTTAAAAAGTAATGTCTCTTTTTAGCAACTAGACATATTTAAGATCACAAGATTCAATTTATTTTTTTCTTAAATTCAGTGTCAAATCAAAATAGGAACAAATTGAAATGAAAGAGGATAATAAAGTTTTAAAAAGATACTCCAATCATTCTAGAGCGCTAATTTTATAGTCTTTTAGCATAGATATTGTATTTGTGTAGTAATAAAAATGTGTCACTAAGACTTAAAAGGTAAATTTTATAAAGTATTGTTAAACCAACTATGTTGTATAAGGTGAAGAGTTGATCAATCAAGAACTCGCATAACCAAAAGGTGGAAATGACAGAAATGAGGATGTTGAGATGGATGTATGAGTATATTAAGAGAGGTCGGATTAAGAACGAAGATATCCTATCACGACCCGATTTCTCGAGGCATGATGGCACCTACTATACCCTACCAGTAGGTAAGCCAACCCGTAACCCAGAACATCAAGCAATGAGCGTAAGGGCAGAAACTAGCGAAAACAATAATTTAAACAAGGACAACAAGGCGGAAGCAACCCAAAATAAATATATATAGAAACCCCTCCCATAACCTGGAAGTGACTAATATAAAGCTATCTAATAAATAGTACAATTCCCAAAAGTGGACCACAACAAAGTGTGTCTCAAAGGCAACAAGACCAGCTAAACCAAAAGAAGGATACATGTCTCCGAATCACAGCTGCAAAAAAAGGCTGAAGTTAATAACCACTGGTAACTGGTACTGGGACCTGCATCACGAAATAGATACAAAGTGTAGCATGAGTACCAAAACAAAAGGTACTCAGTAGGCATAAAAGACCAACTGAGTAAAAGGGGTAAAAACAATAAGAACTGATAGAATCTAGACACATAGAGGTCAAAGCGGATATGAAAAGAAAGCACACGAGCATACCGAAAATAAACCAAGTACAACTAAACTAAACCTAACTGGACCCCCATAAGCCCAGAAGGTACACTCGTGCGCAAGTTAAAATAAAACCTGAACGAACCCCCATAAGCCCAACAGGTACACAAAATAACTAAGTCTATTGAGAAAGAAGAAAATCGGGCACCCAGTCCAAAGTAACCAAGATAATCCATCAGACTCCACCCAACCAGCAATGCACTCCCAGCCCATCTAGAAAGAGTGACCCCAAGGGGCACCTAACCAAACAGTACACTCCCAGCCCAGCTAGAAAGAGAGACATGTGGGTAAGGTAGATATCGCTAGTCATCCTACCATGCAGTCAGCTCCCAGCCCAGCTAGAAAGAGCGACTCGGAGTCACCCAGCCAGCAGCACACTCCCAGCCCAACTAGAAAGAGAGGCCCGAGGGCGATCGCCGAAATCACCGAGTCGACCCAGCCAACAATACGCTCCCAGCTTAGCTAGAAAGAACGAGCCCGGGGGTGATGGTATCTCCAATAGGATCCAATCCAACAACAGCCATCGTGGAACGCCGTCCACTCTAAGAAATCACAAAAAAAGCTCCAAGCCTATACTATCTCAATCCCACTCCTCTAGTGATGCATTAAACCTTCGAGAACACGTCAGAACAGCAGAATTAGAGGGAGAAGATACATAAGTGCAGTAAGCAGCGATAATGCCTAATCTAAGGCTCAAACTATCAAACTCAAGTCTGCTACTCCAGTCTACAATGAGCTAAGTCATCCGAACGACATTGACAGAAAGTCAAGGTTATCCAGCCCATACGAGTCATAAGTCTAAGGCAATACTAGCCTAACCTAGACTAAGGACATCATGCTTACGATTAAGGATGAACAAAGCATACAACACATAGCATACAAGCATACAATAACATTTAGCACATAATGTATGCATCTCTACTAAACCGATTAATATGGTACTACACCCAAAATATGGTCAATCGATCCTAACATAAGGTATCTAATCAAAGTAAAGTAGGAAACTGGTATCCACCCCCAATTCACTCCAATCGACATGCTTTTACACAATTAAGCTCAATCAAATAGAAAGGAAGTTGTAACCTACTTTAAGGCTGACCGCGCGCGCTCCAAATCACTTTGCCAGAGCTTTTCCTTCTCAAACTACCTTTGAACGTTGTCACTCTATCAAATATAGGATCACAACGTTAGTACAGTCGTTTAGATACCAAAATCACAACAAACGGAAACGGGACAATTTTGGAGTTAAAACTGGAATCGTGGGACCCGCACTGAACTGTATGGATTTGACTCCGTCAAGAGACACAAAACAGTACCCCAAACTTGTGTTCCAAAATGAAACACAATTCGCGGCTCAAAACGCAGCAAAACCCAACATGCAAGAAAACCACACTTTAATCAACTTAAAAGAAAATATGCAGCAGTCTAAACTCGAAATTTACAAGAATCAAATGGTGTCCAGCACTCCTTGAACACTCCACGACGTAGCCATGATAATTCCCAACACGTGGGACTTCGAATCACCCAAAACCGAGCTAAAATGAGTGAGATATGACCAAATAAGGAGGCCAAAAACAAAAACTCGAAAAAGGGCCTAACAGTCAGGTTTATAACCAAATTTACCTAGAAGGACGCGTACCCAACAACTTCCGAACAATCTACAGCGATGCCACCAAAAATACGAAGCTCCCACACTTCGAATCGCCTAATTCGGTTGAGAGATGAGGGAGATATGAGGTTTTTAAGTTTGGAAAAGGGTGTTGATTTTCTGCACTAAATACACCAGATTTCAGCCTATTTTTCGAAAACTTAAAAACTCCGACGGGTACTCCGAACTCGTTCGGAACCCCGTGTACGCAGACGAGATATGCAACCATACCAAATTTGATATTTCGGACCAATGGCACAGTCGAAATTTTCGTACCAGATCATCTTGACAAAAAGTGGGTCCCACACCCAACCGTCATTTTGAGTAAAAAACCACAAAAGGGATCGGAAAAACATCGGAAACCTCGGGACACGAAAAAGGGTCAATCTTGACCAAACTCGACATTCTGGAGCTAACCGCGCTAACGAAACTCTCATCCAAGCGCGTTTACTCAGAATGTTGACTAAAGTCAAACTTAGGCTTAAACTTAAACTTAAAACGCCTAATCGCACCGACTCACACTGAAAACCTCGGGAGCCATGCCGACCATGCTGCTAGCCTAAAATGACTCTTCCGGAGCTGATGGAATCGTCATAATTGGATTTAGATGTCATCTCTTGAACTTTTGATCGAAAATGATCGTTCAAGGTTCATAAGCTTCAAAAACAACTAAAACTCGCACAATAACCAAACGAACGACCAGGTGACCGAACTGTCAGTACCACCAAGTCATAAATGACTTGGGGTCGCTACATGAACGCTCTAAACGACACACAAAAGGCAAACCATAGAAATGACCAGGAGGGTCATTACATATCCAAAACAAAGTAGGAGTGATCTTCGTGGTGAACAAGACAAGGGAGGCGAGACTGGAATGATTTGAACATATGAAAAGGAGATGCACAAATGATTTTGTGAGGAGGGGCGAGAGGTAGACATAAGAACTATTTGAGAGGTTACTAAGCAGACATGACACACATATAGCTTAGCGAGAACATGATCTGAATTGAAGGATATGAAAATTGAGGATTGCAATAGAAGGTTAGTAAGTAATCGAGCATTATCAAGTTCCCTTATTAGTAGTATTACTAATACTCTCCTACTGACAACCTTATTCTTCTATTTTATTTTTACTTCTTGTTTCCTCTACTTTGTTGATCATACTATTTATTGTTGCTCACTACTATATTTCCTTTTCATAATTGATTTTGTTGATCATACGATTTGTTGCTGCTCACTACTATATTTCCTTTTCAATTTTGAGCTAAGGGCCTATCAAAATCAACCTATCTACCGTCCCAAATTAGAAATAAGACCGAGAGCCCACCACCCTCAAATGGCTGTCATTCTGTTTTGAAGTCTCGCAGCATAACTTCTTTGTTATCTAGATCATCAGTTTAGCAAATTTTCATGTGAACATATATCTCATCAAGTAGGACAATTTTCTCTCAAACTGTTGTGTAAGGTACTCCATGAAGTTTGTAATATCATGAGCAACTCACGCACAGCTTTAAGGATTTTGGGGTGGATATTAAGATAGAGAAGAAGAGAAACAAAACCCAATCAAAACAAGATAGTAGCTAGCAAGTTCAATATATTGTAAGATTTTTTAGATGTTGAGCAAGCATTCTTTCTACAGCACCAACACTGCACATTACCAGTGGTTTTCTTGATGCTTCTATTCCACATCTTTTCTGAATTCATGAAAATTGAAAGTCCTACATGCATTTCAAATATTATTTGATAATACCACATTAAACTAAAGTATGCATATGAAATTCGGGGAGCCATCTTCAACAAGTCAACCGGCTTCTCTACTTAGATTTTCAGTAGTGACAACATGTCCTCAACAAGGTCACTTCCTCAAACTTTCCACAATGTAAGAAGCATACAGGTCCCTGTGATCACAACCATGGAGATGAATATTTTTTGGTTAGGATCATTGATAACACAAAGAATAAACAATCTTATAACATGAGAGAACTCAAAAGCACTGACATGGAATACTTGATGGCTTCTACAGCTGCTTCAGCAGGAAGAAAGTCCTCAACGGCAACCGACTTGTTCTCATTCTTTTTATCTGTTAATAGAGAGTCAAGGATGTATAGCAGAAACAGTAGATACAGAACCTAGCAAAGGTTGTCAAAAGCCTTACGATATGCAAACATTGTCTTACTCAA